CAACTATCGATAATTTGGGCACCTATATGTAATATTTTTTAAATATCAGGCACTTATATGTAATTATTTTTAGTCCGAGCACTTATTTATAATTATTTTCACTTTCCGGGTACCTATATGTAAATTCCCCTAGAATTTATGTTTAAACATGTGTTGAGAGCAGTGTTGGAAATCTGGTTTGAGATTTATGTTCTCATGAGAACAAATTTATTTAATTTAATGTTTTCAGAAATTTATTTATATTTCTCAACAGTAAAATTTATTACATTCCTATTTTTTAAATTTCTTATTTTGGAAAATATCGGATATTTGCTCATATTTTATGTACATTCATTTTATTTTCGGATGATTTTGGAACTTCACTCAATTTCTAATTTTATTTCATTGCCATTATACTTATATAGAGAACATTATGTTCCCAAATTTCTTTTTTCATAAAAAACATTTACAGAATATCAAATATTCTCAAACATAAAGGTATGAGAATCTGAGAACATGAAAACATAAGATTTCAACACTAGTTGTTAAGCATGAATAATAGGGTTAATCAATACACAAAAGATCTAGAATTAGGGAAGTTCTATTTGGAAACTATCCGATATTTATGTGATCTATTAGATAATAGTAGTATATATAAGAATATAAAAACTATATATTATTATTTATGTTAAATTTGTTAGAGATGTGTTATAAAGAATCTACACACATAATAAATACAAGTTAGATTTTTTATTATCTGTATTATAAAATAAATTATTAATTTTAATTAAATTTATTAATATATAACTTCAATTTGATTTTTCTCAATTATAGCTATTTAGAAAAATGTTATTTATTATCTGAATTTTAATAAAGAAGTGATGTCAAAAATCATACTAATAAATTACATATATATATGCTTATATATAATTATAATTATTTGTAAGAGGGAAAAATTTTACTATTTACAAAAAATCAGCTATAAATAACACTTCTTTTACCAAGTAAATATATATTTTTGACAAATTGTTTTTAAAAGAAATATATTAATACTTTGAAATTATAAATAGATAAACTATATATAGAATTATAAAGAATAGATAGATATCTAATAGTATTAAATAATATAGTGGCTATATAAATAATTTGTTTAGCTAAATTTTTTTATAAAATACAAGTATTATATAAATTATAATAATTATCTATATATGCAATAAAAAGACTATTATATTGAAATTGTAATAAAATTAATTATTAAAAAATGCTTTAACTTATATAAGTTTGAATATATATTTTTATACTTATTGCTTATTTGATTAATTTTATTGATTTAATATCGCTTATTAATCGAGATGATTTACAAATAAAAATTTGGAATCATGTACCTACCATACAAAATTGTTTACCTCATATTATATTCATTATTTTCAAATGTCTTGAGATGATACTTTTAATTATGTGCAACTATATTATCAAATTCTTGAAAAAAATCTTTGGAAAGACATAACAAAAAAGTTTGACAAACCAACCAATATCATCAGTTATCCTTCTGCTTCGTATTATTTTATCCCCAACATTGCCCAATAGAATTACTGAATCATTTTCTACAATTATTAATGATGCACATGCAGTAGAAATTTCTTCATAGGTTGATAAAAAAAAGATAATGCATATTTTGTAAGCTAATCAACATGAATTTAAATTACTTCTTCATAGAACCAGAGATAGTTTTACATCCGATTCATTTTGGAATCTGTGTAATGACTAAACATGCCTTGTTGTAGTTATGGTACTGATGAAATTCTTGGTTGATATAATCCTACTGTATGGGATAGGCCAGCTAAATTTTAATCATTTAGTAAGAGTTGCTATGATAGCTTTGTTCTTCATTGAGAAATGCTAACATTCAAAATTCTATTTTAAGCCGTGTAAGAAAACTAGATTGTGCGATTTACTGTAGCCATTATTATGGTCCAGTTTTTGGTTCTCAAATAGTTATGTTTAATAATTTTAATCAAGATAATGGGTGTTGGTGTAATAAAAGTTATATATATAAAAGACAAATTAGAGATGAATCAACTTATGGAACAAATGGGGCTTCGTGTTTTTCAGTAGAGAATATGAAATATTTCAACTCTATATTACAGTAAACCCTAAATGTTTTATACTAATTTATTCAAAAAATAAACAGCTGCGATTTGGAATAATAATGGTTTAACACTAATTCATTGATCTTATTATGATCATGAAAATGATGGTATTGCTAATACACATCCTTACAATAAATTACTAGAAAGATTTTATTTATTAATAGAATTTATGGGAAAAAGTTTACGCTTCATGTAAGAAGCTCTAATTTGAATATTCTTGTTGCATAATATGTCAACAATTAGAGACTTTTGCCAGTGTAAATCATCAGAATATCGTAAGTACATGAATTATTTAAGCATATTACATGCTCTGCTAGATATTTGTTTCAAATTCACGTTTTTCTTGATTTAACAACACAAGCTCTTTGTCTAATCTATGATCAGAAAACTTAGGTATAATATCCTTAATATTTTTAATAAAAATCGTGTTTCTTCACCTTGAATATTCATCAAGACATAAGCTAATACTTTCTCGTCTGATTTCTTCATACGAATCAAAAACTTTTGTTTTGAATAGAGTTTAATAAAGCAGCAATCATCTTGACTACTTAGAAGCTCAATTGTCTTCATATTTATATCACCAAACTTTAGACTAGGTACATCATCAGAATTTGAGTTTGTAAAGAAAGAAATGAAAAATATTCCTATAACTCCTTAATGTGTTTCAAAGCATTTTTCAAAAAGATTTTGTATGCCGTCTTCTTCATTGATAAATATAAAAGGTAAAGAAAAGATTTAATGTTCAACAAATAATTTCAGTGTTGTGCTTATCGTTGTCAGATTTATTCACATTGGCTAATTCAGCAATCAATGTCGTAAATATGAAATATTGCTGCTTCAATTTTTTCCAAGCTTTCGAGTTAATTTGAACAGCGTTTTCAATTTTTTTCTGAATATCAGGATATTTGGAATTAATTCGTTTAATAACCATGTAGTAATAAATAATGCAGAATATAAGCAATTATATATAAGATTTATATAATAATGATTTTATCAATATTATCGATTTCAATTCGAGCATTTGAAAGTTTTCATTGATTTTTCTGATATTTGTAGTTTAAATTCACTATAAAAGGAAGATAACGAAACAAAATTTGAATATACTAACGGTTTATTTTTATATCTATATGTTTTTTTTAGCATCTATTTTATGTTTTGTATCTCCTGTTCTTTTTTCAAATCACTTTTCTTTTTTTGGTACTGTGATAACTTCTCTTGATTGGTCCATTAGTTCTTTTCCATACTGTATATAACATATTTAACAAGTAATTTATAAAGATTTCATGCTCATATTGCGACTGATTTGTAATAAACCCTTGCAAACGGGATTGATGCTCTTGTTTAAAAGTACGAGCTAGAAATTGGAATGTTGATTTTTGCATAATAGAAGCTAGCGTAATCGTTTTTCGAGTGATGAATTTTTGATTATAAGCAGATTCAACAACTGAAAACTGTTATTAAATTAATTATTATGTGTACAAAAATAAAAAATGAATATACAATAGAAATAGATAAATGATGAATTGTACAGTAAATACCTATAGTAGGTCTTTTTATATATTAAATGAAGATTAACCTGAGCAAAACCGGAATAATTGGTTTCCAAAAACGACCTCAACATCCTGTAATCAATATTCTCACGGTAAGCCCAGATATAATTTAAAATCATCCTTTTATTCTTTTTTTGCTTCAAATTTGTAACACTTATTATTTCATTATAAGAACCTTGTTCATCGTTTACCACGTTAAAATCAAAGGTTTCAAAAGTTTTTTCACTCATAAAACAAATTTTGATTGTCAGTCAGGTTTAGTGAGATATCTAAAAAATATTATGCAATGATAATATGTAAGGAGAATTGAATTATTTGGTGTTCAATTTAAAGCATCATATTATAGTATTTACCTATGAAGGTTAGCCATACTTTTCTTTGTTTGCGACGATGCATTGAATAACTAAACCGATATCAGAATTAATATTTAACAAATATATTCTAGCTTGTAGAGCTGGCTAGCATTTAGCTTCCTGGTTGTCCAGATAAGAATACAACATTATAAGTAAATCAAAGCTATAAAGAAAATATGCTTAGAATAATCATCGGAAAAAATTTTTTAGTGCTGTTCTGTGCAGATTTGCAAAAAAATTAAATAATATATTAAATGAAAATCTGTGCAAAA